ATGCAAAACAACTGAAATCATAACAAACAGACTCTCAGACCATAGTGCAATCAAGTTAGAACTCAGAATTCAGAAACCAACCCAGAACCGCACAGCTTCATGGAAACTGAACAACTGGCTCTTGAATATTGACTGGGTAAACAATGAAATGAAGACAGAAATAAAGAAGTTCTTCAAAACCAATGAGAACGAAGATACAACATGCCAGAATCTCTGGGACACATTTAAAGCAGTCTCTAGAGGAAAGTATATAGCAATAAGTGCCCATATGAGAAGAATGGAGAGATCCAAAATTGACACCCTATCATCAAAATTGAAAGAGCTAGAGGAGCAACATCAAAAAAACTCAAAACCCAGCAGAAGACAAGAAATAACTAAGATCAGAGCTGAACTGAAGGAGACTGAGACACAAAAAACCCTCCAAAAAATCAATAAATCCAAGAGCTGGTTTTTTGAAAAGATCAACAAAATAGACAGACCACTAGCTAGACTGATTAAAAAGAAAAGAGAGAACAACCAAATAGATGCAATAAAAAATGATAAAGGGGAAATCACCACAGATTCCACAGAAATTCAAACCATCATCAGAGAATATTACAAACAACTCTATGCACATAAACTAGTAAACCTGGAAGAAATGGATATATTCGTGGACTCCTGTGTCCTCCCAAGCCTAAACCAGGAGGAAGCTGAAACTTTGAATAGACCAATAACAAGGGCAGAAGTCGAGGCAGCAATTAAGAGCATACCACACATAAAAAGCCCAGGTCCAGACGGGTTCACAGCCGAATTCTACCAGACACACAAAGAGGAGCTGGTACCATTCCTTCTGAAACTATTCCAAATAATCCAAAAAGAAGGAATCCTTCCCAAATCATTCTATGAGACCAATATCATCCTGATACCAAAACCCGGCAGAGACCCAACAAGAAAAGAAAACTTCAGGCCAATATCCATGATGAACATAGATGCAAAAATCTTCAATAAAATATTGGCAAGCCGATTGCAACAGCAAATCAAGAAATGTATTCATCATGATCAAGTAGGATTCATCCCGGGGATGCAAGGCTGGTTCAACATACGCAAGTCTATAAACGTAATTCACCACATAAACAGAACCAAAAACAAAAACAACATGATTATCTCAATTGACGCAGAGAAGGCCTTTGACAAAATTCAACAGCCCTTTATGCTAAAAACCCTCAATAAACTCGGTATCGATGGAAGGTATCTCAAAGTAATAAAAGCTATTTATGACAAACCAACAGCCAATATCATACTGAATGGGCAAAAACTGGACGCATTCCCTTTGAAATCCGGCACTAGACAAGGATGCCCTCTTTCACCACTCCTATTCAATATAGTACTGGAAGTTCTAGCCAGAGCAATCAGGCAAGAAAAAGAAATAAAGGGTATTCAAATAGGAAAGGAGGAAGCCAAATTGTCTCTATTTGCAGACGACATGATAGTATACCTAGAAGACCCCATAGCCTCAGCCCATAAACTCCTGAAACTGATAAGCAACTTCAGCAAAGTCTCAGGATATAAAATCAATGTGCAAAAATCACAAGCCTTCCTCTACACCAATAACAGACTTAAAGAAAGCCAAATCAAGAACGAACTGCCATTCATAATTGCTACGAAAAGAATAAAATACCTTGGAATACAACTCACAAGGAAGGTAAGGGACCTCTTCAAGGAAAACTACAAACCACTGCTCAACGAAATCAGAGAGGACACAAACAGATGGAGAAACATTCCATGTTCATGGTTAGGAAGAATTAATATCATAAAAATGGCTGTACTGCCCAAAGTAATTTACAGAATCAATGCTATACCCATCAAGCTACCATTGACTTTCTTCACAGAACTGGAGAAAACCACCACGAACTTCATATGGAACCAAAAGAGAGCCCGCATAGCCAAGTCAATTCTAAGCAAAAAGAACACAGCGGGGGGCATCACACTACTGGATTTCAAACTATACTACAAGGCTACAGTAATCAAAACAGCATGGTACTGGTACCAAAACAGAGATATAGACCAATGGAACAGAACAGAGGCAACAGAGGCAACACAGCATATCTACAACCATACAATCTTTGATAAACCTGTCAAAAACAAGCAATGGGGAAAGGATTCCCTGTTCAACAAATGGTGTTGGGAAAACTGGCTAGCCATGTGCAGAAAGCAGAAACTGGACCCCTTCCTGACACCTTACACCAAAAATAACTCCAGATGGATTAAAGACTTAAACATAAGACCTGGCACAATAAAAACCCTAGAAGGAAATCTAGGCAAAACTATCCAGGACATAGGAGTAGGCAAGGACTTCATGAACAAAACACCAAAAGCATTGGCAACAAAGGCCAAAATAGACAAATGGGACCTAATGAAACTCCACAGCCTCTGCACGGCAAAAGAAACAGTCACTAGAGTGAATCGGCAACCAACAGAATGGGAAAAAATTTTCGCAGTTTACCCATCTGACAAAGGGCTGATATCCAGAATTTACAAAGAACTCAAAACAGATTTACAGAAAAAAAAACAAACAAGCCCATTCAAAAGTGGGCAAAGGATATGAACAGACACTTTACGAAAGAAGACACATATGAGGCCAACAATCATATGAAAAAATGCTCATCTTCACTGGTCATCAGAGAGATGCAAGTCAAAACCACATTGAGATACCATCTCACGCCAGTTAGAATGGCGATCATTAAAAAATCTGGAAACAACAGATGCTGGAGAGGATGTGGAGAAAAAGGAACACTTTTACACTGTTGGGAGTGTAAATTAGTTCAACCACTGTGGAAGACAGTGTGGCGATTCCTCAAGGCCTTAGAAATAGAAATTCCATTTGACCCAGCAATCCCATTACTAGGTATATATCCAAAAGACTATAAGTTGTTCTACTATAAGGACACATGTACACGAATGTTCATTGCAGCACTGTTTACAATAGCAAAGACTTGGAATCAACCCAAATGCCCATTGATGATAGACTGGATTGGAAAAATGTGGCACATATACACCATGGAATATTATGCAGCAATCAGAAATGATGAGTTCGTGTCATTTGTAGAGACATGGATGAATCTGGAGAACATCATCCTCAGCAAACTCACACAAGAACAGAAAACGAAACACCGCATATTCTCACTCATAGGTGGGTGATGAAAAATGAGAACACATGGACACAGAGAGAAGAGTACTAAACACTGGGGTCTATTAGGGGGAAATGGGGAGGGCCAGTGGGAGGGGGAGGTGGGGAGGGATAGCCTGGGGAGAAATGCCAAATGTGGGTGAAGGGGAGAAAGGAAGCAAAACACACTGCCATGTGTGTACCTATGCAACTGTCTTGCATGTTCTGCACATGTACCCCCAAACCTAAAATGCAATAAAAAAGTAAAATATATATATATATTCTTAAGAAATATTTAATGACAAAATTAATACTAAAAATATGAAGTTAAGTTTTAAAAAGAACAGGCTACAAAGCTATAGCTATGGGGTGATATAAATTATGTACGTATGTATGTATGTATGTATGTACATATGCATATTCGAGTATAAGTACTAACATATGCATTAATGCACACAAATGGGCCAGGCACGGTGGCTCATGCCTGTAATTCCAGCACTTTGGGAGGCCAAGGCAGATGGATATGAGGTCAGGAGTTTGAGACCAGCCTGGCCAATATGGTGAAACCCCATCTCTACTAAAAATACAAAAATTAGCCAGGAGTGGTGGATGCGCCCGTAGTCCCAGCTACCTGGGAGGCTGAGGCAGGAGAATCACTTGAACCTGAGAGGTGGAGGTTGCAGTGAGCCACTGCACTCCAGTCTGGGTGACAGAGCAAGACTGTGTCCAAAAGAAACACATACACACTCATTTACGTTTCCCCCACCCTTTGACTAAAAGTGCATATTTGAGACACTCTTTTACAATAATAATACATCTATTTGTTCATCTCTGCAACTTGTTAGGCAAAAGACAATGTTAATTTAGACTTTTAGCTATTAATAAATATTATTTTGCAAACCTTTGATTCAATGTTAATGAAGATATGAGGGGAAAGTATTCATACTCTGCTGGTGGATGGAAACATTTCTATAGCTACTTTCAGTGGCAATTTGATAGTCCTTGGGACAAGCAATACCACTTGTTGGTATATCTGTCTTAGAGAAATAATTTGCATATTTGCCCAAGTCCATATAGACACATTGCAACATTGTTTGTCATTTAAAAAAAAAAGGTATGTGCTTATCAACCAGGGAATGGCTAACTACAATGTATCCGTACCAGAAAATATTACATAGCAATGAAAAATAGTGAAAGTTTGAAAGACTGACACAGAAAATTTTAAACATATTTTTGAATGAAATACAAGGTGGAAAATAATATGTAGATTATAATATTTTTGCAAAAGTAAAAGAAAAAGTATTATTATACACACTCACATGTATATGATGAAAATGCACTGCAGAAAAAGGTGCCCTTGAATAAACTATAGGATATATTTAAAAAAAAAAGATACCCAACATATTGGTAATATGGTTACATTTGGAGGAGACATTGGGTTTGATGAGAACATGGTCAAAGGGGATTTTAACATTCTTAATATTTTCATTTTTTCCAAAATAATGTATTAACTTGAAACTGTATATTAATTTGAAAATAAACTTTTTAAAAAATTCAAATTGCTCTCTGAATGCACTAAGTTCTGCTTTAAAGACTACGTGGTATTTTTTTTAAATCAACACCAAGTACTTTATTTAATAAATAGATAGTATGCCCACAAGGCTATTTCTGAATTACCTAATCTTAGCATAGAAATCTTTAGCCAAATTTACAGTTAAACTACTGACCAACTTAGCTTTATTATATTAATTTCACGAATAAGGAAATTAAGTTCCAATCAGAGCAGAGTGTTCAAGTGAAAAAAAATTCCCATTTACTCGGACAATTTTTACCGTTTAAACTGTTTGGAATCTAGTGGATCAGAGTGTTGGTTTCAGCTGTAACAGACTTCATCGCATCAGAAATTGTACTTATTTTCATCCTTTCAAGGAAGCTCAGACCCAGGAAAATTTCCATAGTACCGTACTGAACAAGGTAAGTAGGTCACGAACAACTGAAATAATATACTTTACCCAATCTTACAATTTCTTCCCTTCATTTTAATAGGTATTAACTAATGTTGACTATCACATAATGCTTTTCCTCATAAATATGATCTTTTGCAGTGAAAATATTAATAATTCATAAAGAAGCATGAATGAATATGTGTATGTTCCTTTTGGCCAATAGTTAAAAGAATTTCTAACAGAATATTATCCTAGAAACATCATCTATTTCACTTCATATTTTTGTACGAAACCATTATATTTCTGAGAAAAAGTGAAGAGAGGTGACATTTAGTAATAAGATAACTTAAAATGTTCTGGAACTAGAAGTTTTACGGTATTTTTTTTTTAACAGCCTCGCCCTGTCCCACAAGCTGGAGTGCAGTGGGCTGATCTCAGCTCACTACAACCTTTGCCTCCTAGGTTCAAGTGATTCTCATGCCTCAGCCTCCCAAGTAGCTGGGATTACCAGTGTCCACCACCACATCCAGCTAATTTTTGTATGTTTAGCAGAGACAGTGTTTCACCATGTTGGGCAGGCTGGTCTTGAACTCCTGACCTCAGGCAATCCGTCTGTATTAGCCTCCCAAAGTGCTAAGATTACAGGTGTGAGCCACTGTACCCAGCCATATAGTGATTTTTTTTATAAAGACAGGTACCTTATTTTTTCTCCTTCATAAAATAAACTTATTTATATTGTCTTAATGAAATTAATAAAACGTAACCAGTCCTCTCCCTTTTTAAAAGAACTAATAAATGTGTAACTTTGTCAATTCCCCAGGAAAAGTTTAACAGTGGGACGTGTCTTTCCTTCCATTTCCTTTTTGGCTTGGAAATCAGAATGAGGAGGATTGTCTTTGCTGGTGGTGTTATCTTATTCTGCCTCTTAGGTGGTAAGTCGTTAGGACAGCATAAGTTAAAAGGACAGAAAATTATTTAAAAATTGTAGAATTGCCATATGACTAAGTGGAAAGTGACCTTAAATAAGGGAATCTGAAAAGTACTGCTGTAGAAGCCACCTTCTCTTGCTCTTCCTGCTAAATGTACCATCTTCTGACTCTAACAGACTCTATCTGCTAACCTCTGGGTTCAGTCTCTGGGTGCTTATAACATGGCCTGGGTAAGCACTCAATTAATAGTAAGACCCCGCATTTATTGAGCACTTATATATTCAGATTCTAAACATTTCATTAGTATTATTCATTTAATTCTCATGATCTTTAAGTTAGGTGCTTTTATTTCTCATTGTATAGATGAGGAAATTGAGCAGAGAGGTGGTGAACCACATATTGCTATTATTATTACTAAGCTAGAACTAACCAAACTAGTTTGGAAGCCCTTATAAGCATGGCAAAGTAAGTGAATTAAGTATAACAAAAGAAGCATGGATTGGGCCTGCTAGCACTTTCCCTTTTATGAGAGCACTTTTCCACCAATTCTCACATTCCTCCATTTATAGAGGAACCACAGAAGGAGATGCTACAGAGTTTTCGAATTACTTTTAGAGAATTCTTAAGGACTCTCAAACTAGGTAGATGTTCATAATGGTAACATCTCTCAACAGACACGTGCAAGCACCATCATGGGAATTCTCCCTCACTGAAATGGTGAGATGGTAATGAACTCAGATGCTCTACACTGTGCCAGAAGTTAGCAGAGCAGTCTCTTAGAGTGAGAGGGTGGCAGAGGAAGGAGGAAGAGAAGGTGGCTTCTACACTAGTACTTTACAAATTTAACGTGCATATGAGTCACCTGGGGATCTTGTTAAAATGAGTCTGATACAGTAGGTCTGAGGTGAGGCCTGAGATTCTGAATTTCCAGCAAGCTTTCATGTGATGCTGGTGCTGTTGTCTGGAGACTCCACATCAGTAGGAAGAATCTACAAGTCATCCCAGAAATAAATACAATTCACACACGACTTATGATGGTTCAACTTACAGTTTTTTGACTTTATGATGGTGCAAAAGTGACATGCATTCAATACAAATCATACTTCGAGTGCCTATACAACCATTCTGTTTTTCACTTTCAGCACAGTATTCAATAAATTACATGAGATATTCAACACTTCATTATAAAATAGACTTTGTATTAATGATTTTGCCCAAGTGTGGACTAATGTAAGTGGCATGTTTAAGGTGGGCTGCGACATTTGGCAGGTTAGGTGTATTAAATGCATTTTCAACTTAAGATATTTTCAGGTATATTTGGATGTAATCGCATCAGGGAAAAAGCACGTTTATTGAGACTTAGAGACTTGGTATCAAATACTGGGGTCACCAACTCATATGCATAAAGTTTCTGGCCACGTAATATAAATGAGGGAAGCCAGCCAGCTACATAAAAGAAAAGGCTCTTCTAAAGGAGGAGAGCTGGTATGCAGCTGCAGATGTTTGCTGCTACAGAGAAAGCAGAGCCCAAGATTGCCAAATCTCCTGATTCTTCCAGAGAAGCCAGAAACTCAGATTCGTAGGAGAACTCTCCCAATTTTTAAATGCTGACAACTTACATGATCTTTGAAAATTCTATGCAAGTTAAACACACAAGACCACCAGTCTATGGCCTCTGCTTCTCACAGTACCCTCATTACTAACTACAGCGCACAATGGAGTTCTGATTACCCCTTGTAGAGAGGGCAGCAAGAAACTCAAATTGTACAGCTTAGGTCTCTGCTGGATTTGAAGTCTTCATATTGTTCTCCTATAAAGAATGTGGAAGGAAGCATATGAGTAAATGAAAAATCACAAGAAAACATCTTCAGTATCTTGGGTGTGATGAGAAAATAATTCAGGAGTTGCATTAATTTTGCTGGACACAAGAAAGACGTATGGGCAAAATAAGAAAATTCAACATAAAGAGAAATTTTGTTGTTGATATTTACCTGGTTCTGAGGACTACCCATGAAGTAAAGGGTGGTTATTTTAAAAAAATCACCATCATCCTGATTTAAATATATGCTTAAATATACATATATATGAATCATAGGCTGGGTGCAGTGGCTCATGCCTGTAATCCCAGCGCTTTGGAAGGGCTGAAGGGGGTGGATCACCTGAGTTCAGTAGTTTTTTTTTTTTTCTTTGAGACAGTCTCATTCCGTCACCAGGTGCCAGGCTGGAGTGCAGTGGCGCGACCTCGGCTCACTGCACCCTCCGCCTCCTGGGTTCAAGCAATTCTCGTGCCTCAGCCTCCCGAGTAGCTGGTACTACAGGCGCACGCCACCATGCCCAGCTAATTTTTTTGTATTTTTAGTACAGATGGGGTTTCATGTTGGCCAGGATGTTCTCGATCTCTTGACCTCGTGATCCGCCCACCTCGGCCTCCCAAAGTGCTGGGATTACAGGTGTGAGCCATCGCTCCCGGCCTGTCAGTAGTTTGAGATCAGCCTGGCCAACATGGTGAAAACCTGTCTCTACTAAAACTACAAAAATTAGCCAGGGATGGTGGTGCATGCCTCTAGTCCCAGCTACTTGGGAAGCTGAGGCAGGAGAATTGCTTGAACCCATAAGGCAGAGGGTGCAGTGAGCAGAGATCATGCCACTGCACTCTAACCTGGGAAACAGAGTAGGAATCCATCTCAAAAAAAAAAAATACACACATATATATACATGTATATATATATATATATATGTACATATATACACACACACATATGAATTATAGTTTGCATTTAAATAATTATATATAAAAGAGATCTTTCTTGGCTAATAAAGTAATAAAGAGAACAGTATACTTCAGAATTAAACATGTTAGGAAAAATTCATTTTACAACTAACCTGAAACATTAAACTTAGTTGTCAAATTGGAAATATATTATGTAGTAGATATGTTAATAAAACCAACAGGAAATATTCAAACCAAAAAGACTGGAAGAAAGAAAATGGGATCCAGGAACATATTTGTAAGTAAGCTGACAACTAAACGATGACAGCAAAAAGGCCTAGAGGTTAAGGCACCATCTTCAGCCATAGTGAAGGATGTCAGGGTCAAGGTTTCAGGAAGAAGAAGACTATGGTTGCTGGGTGTGGAATCAGGAGAGGCAGGCTGAGAGGGAGGGAGAGAAACTGAAACAGATTTCACCCAGGAAAACAGTTTAGGGGCCTTGGGCAAGGAGAGCAGTGATCTGATATCACACGGGCTCTTCACTGAAGGGGGCCTCTTGGCACCAAAGGTCTGAGTAATGTAATGAGTCTCTAAGTGCAAGTTGTAAGATTGACCGATCATAAATCCAGGAGGAAAACTTACTCCAGGATAACCTGAAGAAACAGCGGGGCTTGTATTCCAGGCAGGCAATTGACCCTGATGCAAGAAGAGCCAAGACCTCCAGCAAGAAGGGTGATCACTGGGGGGAAAAGGGGAGGGCCAGTGGGAGGGGGAGGTGGGGAGGGATAGCCTGGGGAGAAATGCCAAATGTGGGTGAAGGGGAGAAAGGAAGCAAAACACACTGCCATGTGTGTACCTATGCAACTGTCTTGCATGTTCTGCTCATGTACCCCAAAACCTAAAATGCAATAAAAAATTAAAAAAAAAAAAAAAAAAAGAAGGGTGATCAGAAGGTTTGGGATATGCAAAAGGTAGGGAGCTCCAAGGAGATAGTGTGTTTGCTAAGAACAGGGGCTTAGATTCCAACAGACTGTTTTCCCCTCTCTCTCCCGCTTACCTAAGCTATTAAGGCCTCAGTTTTCTTTTCTGCGAAATGCAGACATATGTAATACCTACCTGAAAGGTATACTTTGGGAAATAATTGGGCTTATGAATGTAAATGGCTTAGCAGAGTCCTTGGCATAAGCTCAATTTCTTAAAAATATTTGTTGATTGATTATTGATTATGAATGGAAAGTCTGTCATGCTTAGTGGAAGAACCAATGTGAAATTTCCCAAGTGTCTCTAGTTGAGGTTGAGGCTGGGGAAAACCATCAAGAAAGATCAATTAGCCTCATCAACTGACTGTTTTCTATTAAAAATTATCCCTTCTATCCCCCAATATGGCAAAGGGAGATACAAAACCCATTGCAGAAAATATCTAGTAAAGGCTTCTTTGGGGCCATAAATGATAAGAGTGACATGGCAGTGGTCATCATATAGTGGAAGATGGAACCTGTGAGCACGCAGAGAAATTTTGGCTCAGTTTCAAAAGAATCTTTTAACAATCTGAGCTGTTGGCCGGGCGCGGTGGCTCACGCCTATAATCCCAGCTCTTTGGGAGGCCGAGGCTGGCGGAGCACGAGGTCAAGAGATGGAGAACATCCTGGCCAACATGGTGAAACCTCGTCTCTACTAAAAACACACAAAAAATTAGCTGGGCGTGGTGGCGCGCGCCTATAGTCCCAGCTACTCGGGAAGCTAAGGCAAGAGAATTGCTTGAACCCAGGAGGTGGAGGTTACAGTGAGCCGAGGTCGCGCCACTGCACTCCATCCTGGTGCCTGGTGACAGAGTGAGACTCTGTCTCAAAAAAAAAAAAAAAGGCAACAACAATCTGAGCTGTTTTTAATGGTGATCAGTTCCCCATCACTGGCCAAAGCTCCCTGCAGAAGCTATAAGAAAGATTCCTGAATTGGAAGAATCAACGATTCATAAGCACTGGTCCAGACATCAATAGCCAAATCATATCCCCTCAGCTATTTCTGCATATCTAAAACAAATTCTCAAGCTTCCCCTTCCATCAATTCTAACTCAGGTTTTTGAGGGCTCTGGGAATCTGCGTGTTTATTTAATCTGCTCAAATCTGATGCACAGTAGAATTTGGAAACCAAATTCTTCCAGATAATGTCTCCCAACCTTACCAATACTGACCAGTTCAAGAATCTCTGAGCTATCTCTTTTCACTTTGTCATCCAGGCTGAAGCGTAGTGGCTCAGTCTCGGCTCACTGCAAGCTCCGCCTCCCAGGTTCAAGCGATTCTCCTACCCCAGCCTCCCAAGTAGCTGTGACTACAGGCACGCGCCACCATGCCTGGCTAATTTTTGTATTTTTAGTAGAGATGGGGTTTCACCATATTGGCCAGACTAGTCTCGAACTCCTGACTGTGTGATCTGCCTGCCTAGGCCTCCCAAAGTGCTGGGATTACAGGCGTGAACCACGGCACCCAGCCTGAGTTCTTTTCTTTTCTTTTTTTTTTGAGACGGAGTCTCTCTGTCACCCAGGCTGGAGTCCAGTGGCGCAATCTTGGCTCACTGCAACCTCCACCTCCCAGGTTCAAGTGATTCTCCTGCCTCAGCCTCCTGAGTAGCTGGGACTACAGGTGCATGCCACCATACCTGGCTAATTTTTGTATTTTTAGTAGAGACGAGGTTTCACCGTGTTAGCCGGGATGGTCTCGATCTCCTGACCTCATGATCTGCCCACCTCAGCTTCCCAAAGTGCAGGGACTACAGGCGTGAGCCACTGCTCCCGGCTGAGTTATTTCTACATAAACAAAATGAATAGCATTTTTGAGCCATTCAATTTGAGTATGAAAGATAACCAAGATGTAAACATTAATCAAGCAATAAATATTCGTGACTATATAGTCAAGAACTGACTATATGTAATGTGCTACACTAGGCACTGAAATGAAGTCCTAACAGTGGATATGTGGCTGAAATTAAATTTTCTGGTAAAATACTTTTGGTGTGATTTAATTAAGCACTGAGGAACTGAATGAATTTTAACCGAGTTTTTTAGACCACCTGGGCTCCATTCCTGTCTGATTACCACAGTTCAAGGGGCTTCCAATTCATACATGGAGCATACTTTGAAATTTCCCTCATTAAATTCTCAAAATAAAAAATCATTTTAGCCGGGCACAGTGGCTCATACCTGTAATCCCAGCACTTTGGGAGGCCGAGGCAGGCAGATCATCTGAGTCAGGAGTTTGAGACCAGCCTGGCCAATATGGTGAAACCCCATCTCTATTAAAAATTTAAAAATAAGCCAAGCATGGTGGCAGGTGCTTGTAATCCCAGCTACTCAGGAGGTTGAGGCAGGAGAACTGCTTGAACCTGGGAGCCGGAGGTTGCAGTGAGCTGAGATTGCGCCATTGCACTGCAGCCTCAGTAACAAGAGTGAAACTCCATCTAAAAAAAAAATGTATTTATGCAGGGTTTTAGGATTAATTTTTAAAATACTGCTTACTCACTGAGTGCAATGGCCCACACTTGTAGTCCCAGCACTTTGGGAGGCCGAGGCAGGGAGTCCAGCCTGGCCAACATGGAGAAACCCGTCTCCACTAAACATACAAAAAGCTGGACATGGTGGGTGTGTGCCTGTAGTCCCAGTACTTGGGAGGCTGAAGTGGGAGGATCACTCACTTGAGCCTGGGAGGCGGAGGCTACAGTAAGCTGACATTGTGCCACTGCACTCCAGCCTGGGTAACAGGAGTGAGACCCTGTCTCAAAAAATATATATATATATAATATATATGTAAAATATATATTTATGTATATATTTTTGATGTCTCAAAAATAGTGAATCTTGACTTAAATATATAAAATGTATATAAATATATATTTAAAAGATATCTTTTTAATATGCATTTTTATACATAAAGTCAAACATCACTATTTTTTTCTCTCTCCTCCTTTTCTTCTCTCTCATATCTCTGACTTTTCCCTTATTTTTCTACCGGTGTACTTGGAGATGCTGGAGGTATGATGTGCAGAGCATGCAATCTCTCACTCCCCTTCCACAGATGTATTTTAGACTTGGGAACCTGCAAGTCAAAACCTGGTCAGTACTGTATAAAAGAGGTCCACATTAAAGGTAAGATTTGACACTATAAAACTTTTCGTTAAAATAAGCACAGAGAAAATGCTTATCACAACAAACTTTCATATGCCAGATGCTACACCGAGGGCTTTACCAGGGCTACATTATACCAACAAAACAATGAAAAGAGCTGGATGGATCCTGTCACTACCCCCATTTTACAGATGAGAAATCTGAGACACAAAAGGATTAAGTAATTTGTACAGTTACATAGCTCATGAGTCTTACAGACAAGATTCAAATGCGAGTATTCTGACTCCAGAGCACACATTCCTAATGAACCTATATACTGTCTCATTCACATCACCCACGTCCTCACAAAGAAGGAATACACAATTGGCAGAGCCCTTCTAAACTTGGGCCTGGTGCACCAGCTGCATGCCCATGAAGCTGGCATTCTCTAAAAGATAAAATCCAAATAATGAAACATCAGAAGAAAATACTGGGAAGCATATTTTAAGCTTGAAAAAAACGAGTTTAGCTGGGCATGGTAGCACACCCTTGGAGTAGTCCCAGCCACCAGGAGGCTAGGTGGGAGGATCACCTGAGCTCAGGAGGTTGAGCTTGCAGTAAGCCATGATCACGCCACTACATTCTAGCCTGAACAATGGAGTGAAACCCTGTTTCAAAAAAAATAAATAAATAAAAGAAATAAAGAAAGAGTGGAGGCCTCTTTAACATCCAAAATCCAGACTGGGCACAGTGGCTCATTTCTGCAATTCTAGCACTTTGGAAGGTAGAGGTGAGTGGATTGCTTTACCTTAGGAGTTCAAGACCAACCTGGGCAACATGGTGAAACCCTGTCTCTACAAAAAGAAATACAAAAATTAGTTGGGCATGGTGGCTAACACCTGTAGTCCTAGCTACTCAGCATAGAAGCTGAGGCAGAGAACTTGCTTGAGCCTAGGAGGCAGACGTTGCAGTGAGCCCAGATTGAACCACTGCACTACAGCCTGGGCGACAGAGTAAGACACTGTCTCCAAAAAAAAAAAAAAAAAAAATCTCAAACCCAAAAGTTGTGAAGGAAATAATAAATACATTTGCATATATCAATATTTTAACATTTATAAAATGTGTGATAACTCCAAAATGTAAAAGATAAGGGATTAACTGGGTGAAAACATCCAAAACATAGATAACAGGGAAAAAATATTAATACCTATCCAGAATAAAGAACTTCAAAAATAATTTTTAAAAGCCCAACAATCAAGGGGAAATACATTATTAAAGGAAGTATAAAGGCAATTCCCAGAAGAAGAAATATAAGTAACCAAGAAATATAAGTAACCTAAAAATGTAAAACCCTGCTCAACCTTGTTAGTAAAAATCAAGGAAATGCAAATTATGGAAAAATATGATATTTTTAACCCATCAGCTTGGTAAAAAATATAAAAGTTTTATTATATCAAGAGTTAGTGACAGTATGGGGAAATGGGAGCACTCAGACAATTTCAATGACAGCTTAGACTGGTTCAGCATCTTTTTAGACAATTTGTGAATTTCCATTAAAATTTTAAATAAACAGCCTTCTACAAAGCAATTCTATTTCTTGGCATCTACTGCAGAAAAATATTTACATTTAACACATGTATCAAGGTTATCATTGCAGCATTACGTTTGATAGTAAAGTAATAGAAATTACCTAAATGTTCATCTATAGGGACCTATTCATTAAACGGTGTTATATTCAGCCATGGAGTTCCATGCAACACTCAGAATGAACTAGATCTCTTTGTTAACATGGAGGAATCTCTAAAACATTGTTGAGTGGGAAAAAATTCAGTTGCCAACAAGTACGTTCAGCATACCACCGATCAAGAAAAATCCACAAAACAAACCTCTAAACTTTTCTGTGGAACTGGAAGGGAAGAATAAAAATTAGAGGAGATCAAAGTTAGTTTGGAGGGAGGATGAGAATCATAGGGTAACATCACAAGGTGTTTTGATATTAAGAGGGTTACTTGAGTTCTGTTCAATCTTTCTAGTTTAGGGTCCCTCTCCAAGGTCAGTTCTCCCCTTTGCTAGTCACAGCCCCTTCTTTATGGAAGGGGAAAGATATGCAGACCCCTGGGGCCATGAGATGTTGGCTCTTCTCTTCCTGAATGTGGACGGAGAGTCATCTAGTCAGAGGGACATCAGAATTAGTATGATGCATAAGAAAGAGCCTGGAAGCTTATTCAACAGAATATTAACAATAGTTCTTGGTGGGTGGAAGGCCTGGAATGACTATGATGTTGGAAGAGCAGTTTCCTAATTTGGGAATTTTGCCATTTACACTGATGCAAAACAAACAACTGAACTTCATGCTTTTGATAGTTTTTTCAGTAGGGTTTCTTGTTTCTCAACTTTTGCACTATTGACGTTTTGGGCAGGTGAATTCTTAATGGAGGGCAGCCTTTTGTATTGTAGGATGTACAGCAGCAGCAGCATTGTTGCTTCTATCTACTAGATTCCAAGAGCACCTCCAACCCCACTCTGCCACCCCAACCAGTTCTGACAACAAAAATGTCCCTGGGTATTTCCCTGGGAAAGGGAAAGCAAAATCATCCCCAGTTGAGAAACCACTGTTTTGTCCAAGTTTCCAGTCTTCACATTTTGCTGCCTTTGAGGAATTGCTCCTTTTGTCCTCCTACTTACAACTGAAGCTGCGGTGGTAGAATTATAGGATGTCACTGTCACTTATTTTGTACTTTTGTGCATTTTTTTATTTTCTACAGTGAACATGCATTATTCCTTCTTTAATTGGGGAAGAAATTAAGTGAGGTCATGCGTATGCCTCCATTTCTGAGAGGCACCTAACACATCTAAAGGATCCTTTGGTACATTCAGCCCTTTGAATAACTCACAACCTGGGTGAAACTAGGGGGTGATTATCAGGAAGCTTCAAAACAGCTAACACTTTAGAAATTCTACATAGTCAATGGCAATTGCATGGTTTTTATAATCTGAATTTGAAAGTTTTTTTTTTATAGTTTCAAAGCTTGTGTATGCAATGTACCCAACTACAGTAGTCTATGTGGGAGTTCTTAAAGGAAAAAGAATGAAATGAACCATTCTTAATGGTGGAAACTCTAGATTCATATCTTCATAAAACTAAAGCTTTGCTTAGTATTCTTTTTAACCTATTAGTTATCTGCAGCATCTGAAGCCAAAGAAGTGGCCTCCCAAGAAATTTCCCTACCTCTTTTCTTTCCATCAGGTGGCATCGAATGGTATTCAATTAAAGGCTGCACAAAAAACATATCAGAGTGCTTCAAGAGAATTATGTCTCCGTATGAAATTCGAGCTACTCACTGCTGCCATCATCTATGTGCAATCTGTGAGTCAGTGGCCCATATCTAAAATGTTTGGGAGATCAATCAGTCTCAAAGGCTGATCTGGCTATCACAAAATGATGGCTATTGTCAGTGACCCCACTTCAGAAACCTCAGACCTTTGTAGGTGGAAGGAGCTCTCGTCTGAGATTGACCTTGGTTTTCAAGGTTCCAGGTATCTCCCCTACCACCTTCAACTCATCTCAGAAATATCCCTTTCAACACCATTTCTCTCCTCTCCTCCTTCTGCTTAATTTACCTTCCTACCTCAGGTGATTTCAAGGCTACAAAGAAGCAAAAATGTTGGCAGTTCTCCAAGTCAAACTATGCACATCACCTCTAACTACTTTTATTTCCCAAAATATTTCCATACTCGAAAATATGGTTACAAATGTATCACAAGATGGCAAGACCTGAGAATATTCATTTGGTTTCCAGAGCAAATCACCTTGCTCCTTTGGGGTGATTTATGGTATAGGAGAAACTGACTTAACAAATACCATAGGAAAAAAAAATAAGCTGTGAATGAGCAAACCAGGCCTGTGGGGAAATTATGAACCCAAACAACAAAGGGCTGAGGCAGGTGGTAGGGCTGGCACTATTTCTTCCATCTGCCTGAGAGTTTATCCAAATTTTGAATTTTCTATACCTTAACCAGGCCTAAATGTTTCGGCTTGTTCAATTTTGGCAGATTAAGCAGTTCAAGGTAAGCAGAGGAGTTAAGTTCCCAACCACAGGGAATTTAAGAGCAGTAGGGACATACTTTGAACTACATCTCACATTTTGCAATGCATCGCATCTTCTGTTACTTGCTTTCAATGCCTTAACTTCGGCAGCATGAAGTGTACTGCATTTTAAAATTTAATTTAAAACTGCCTTTCTCTGTATTTTCAGAAGTTTGAAAATTTAAAGGATAAGTAATAAATATCAATAAAATCTTGTTTGTCTTTTTTTTTTTCAGGATTTAGGACAACACATAGTGAGCCCTCAACAAATGCTTCTCTGTAAACTATGAAAAAAACAAGCATTTTTTTTAAAGGCCAAGAAAGCTAGATTTTTTTTCCCTTCAGACCTGTTACAACTATATTCCTTACTCTATATCTCTGAAACTAAGAAAAAAAGTCTCCATCTTGAGACTGAAATCCAGTTCCCCTTATTCTGTTATATTTTGCAATAGCCACATTGATAAAGAGTGGTTACCTTCCATCAGTAAATTTCATGAAAATTTAACTTTTCTTTCTCTTGGGTGTTTTATCTTATTTAATTTTTTGAGGTAGGGTTTTGCTCTGTCACCCAAGCTGAAGTACAGAGGTGTGATCACAGCTCACTGCAGGCTCAAGCGACCCTCCCACCTCAGCCTCCCGAGTAGCTGGGACTACAGGTGCACACAACCATGTCTCTGATAATTTTTGTATTTTTTTTGTAGAGACAGGGTTTCTTCACGTTGCGCAGGCTGGCCTTAAACTCCTGGGCTCAAGCGATTCACTCACCTCAGCCTCCCAAAGTGCTGGGGTTACAGGCATGAGCTACCATGCTGGGCTTTAGTTTTTTTTGTTACCTTATTTACCCAATATCATGGTGGTGGGAAATGACAAATCACATACTCCATAACTAACTCCAGAGCTTCCCGAGCCTAATTCACAATCTGGGTGATGTAATGTGAGAACTAAGGAGCAGGTGCTAGTTTTTTGGGTCACTAAGTATTATAGCTGTTGACCTCAGCAAGTCCTGTCAGCCTCTCTGCCCCTCATTCTTGGATCATGCCATCTCTTACATTTCCTCAAATTCTAACATTTTATGACTCAACATCAACTAAGACCTTTTGTTTTCTGAGATCAGAAACAAGACTTGGTGCTGAGCACAGCCCATGAATAGGCCCTGATTAAATGACCATCGTGCACCTGTTACCAAAACACCAGGGCTTTGGTCCAGGTCCTGCTGCTTGCCGCACAGAAAGCCAGTCACCGAGACCAGTGTTTTCAAGGAAGAAGGCTTTAACAGGGTGCTGCAGCTGAGGCGATGGAGCTGTCTCAAACCCATCTCCCTGAGCCACTGAAATGAGGGGTTTACATAGCAGGGAAGAAAAGTAACAATGTGTGAGAAAACAGGAACTAGGGAGGGATGTCAGCAGTCATGATGAATGAGGGGTCTGGCATCTTATAGTCAGGACCCTAGTGATCTGGTGAGTTTGAGTTCTCTGATATCCTTTTACAGAGGCCTGAAGGTCCTTTCCTGAGGAAGGAACTCAGATTAAACAAATATGTTTCAAACTTTAAGACCAGAAGGGTCAATTTCTGTGTTTATCAAAAAGAACAGTCCATGTGACTGTTGGGTCAGTTTCACATCCGGCTCTGTATAATTTATTAAAACAAGAGGAGAAATGGCAGCTATCAGAGCAGTGATTATCACAGAAGCAGTTTACCTGCATGCCAGTCTGACCCAGCAGTCACCATGGAAACAAAAATAATCTTGACCACTTTGATGTGGTAGACTGAATGATGGATGGTTCCCCAAAGATGTCCACATTCTAATCCTTGGAGCCTGACCCCCCCCAAAAAAGTTTGTGCTTAATGTACTTAAATTAAGGATTTGAGATTAGGTAATTATCCTGGATTATTTGGGTGGGCCCAGCAGAGCCCAAGAAACAGGAGATAAGTTTATGGAGTCAGGGGACACAGATTTGAAGGTGCTATACTGCTGACACCGAAGAGGGAGGATGGGGTCATAGGCGAGGAATTTGAGCAGCCTCTAGAAGCTGGAAAAGGCAAGAAAGCAGAGTTTCCAGAGAGTTTCCGGTGGGAATGCAGCCCTGCTGACACATTTCAGACTTCTGACCTCCAGGACTGTAAGATAATAAATTTGCTTTCTTTAGACGTGGTAATTTGTTACATCGGCCAAGGGAAATAGCTTGGTCATGCAGTGGGTGGTGTGGCATTTCCCCCTCCCTCAGGTTAACACCAGGGCAATACTGGATTTCGGTGGGATCTAATTTCAAGAGAGGCACCTTGGTGTCATATGGTCTTCCTTTCATTCTCACACCTCCCAGTCATAATTTCCCTCGAAACACACAGATGGCCTACAGACATGCCATCACATCTTTTCAGCTGACACCTCCCACTCAAGCCCCTATCCATTCAAGATTTCTTTAGCTAACAAGTTTATTTTTTTCAAGTCCTTCACACCCAAAGACAACCTGATATCAGATTAGCCTGAATGCAATCTATTTATAAGACAACAGCCTGAAGGGCCCATGGATTCAGAAACCTCCCTCGATCCTCTGAGTACTAGGTTGGCTTCCTTATTGATTACATTTTTCCTGCAACTAAAATAGAAAAGTCAATGGTTAATGCCTCCTAATTCATTTAAATGTCTCTGCAGTCAATACATGAGGGGCATCTGAAGGATGTGGCAGGGAAGAGACTGAAATGATTCTATTAGCAAAGGAGAGACGTAACATTTGCCTGTGAGCACTCGGTTATGTCTTCTGAAGTTCCAAGAAGCATAATTTTTATAACTGAAATAGCCATTACTGGCTATCCCACTGTACTGATGATGAATCTGAAGCTTCCATAGCTGGTAGGTGGCCAAGGGGAACTTGCAGTGATCCTCACTCCTCCACAAATGCCAGCCCATGAGAGAACCACATGGGGGCCAAGAAGCTGAGTGTCTGGGATGCTGCTACTCTGACTCCTCAGTGTATGCTTCTGGCCTCTGAAAAATGAGACATGGGGTTTTTTTTAAAGAATCACAGGAGGTGGGGCACGTTGGCTCATGCCTGTAATCCCAGCACCTTGGGAGGCTGAGGCAGGAGAATCACTTGAAAGCAGTAGGTGGAGGTTGCAATGAGCTGAGATCACCCTATTGCACCCCAGCCTGAGCAACAAGAGCAAAACTCAGTCTCGAAAATAAAAAATTAAAAAAAAATAAAAATAAAGGAAGCACAGGTGCTAAGAAATAGAAGAAAATAATGTTAGCAGCAGATCATATCCGAGTCACATGGCACCAAATTATGTTTCTGGTGGCAAATCTGTACAGGTCTGCAGCAACCTCGGTTCTTGCCTCCTCATAAGGCAGAAGGAGAGACCAAGGCAAGTTTTAGAGCAGGAGTGAAAGCTTATTGAAAAGTTTTAGGGCAGGCTGGGTCCTGTGGCTCATGCCTGTAATCCCAGCACTCTAAGAGGCAGAGGTGGGCAGATCACTTGAGCCTAGGGGTTCAAGACCAGCCTGACCAAGATGGCGAAACTGTCTCTATTAAAAATAAAAAAATTTCCTGAGGGGCAGCGGCGCACACCTGTAGTCTCAGCTACTTGGGAGGCTGAGGCATGAGAATTGCTTGATCCTTGAAGGTTGCAACGAGCTCAGATCACACCACTGCACTCCATCCTGGGCAACAGAGGGAGACTCTGTCTCAAAAAAAAAAAAAAGAAAGAAAAAGAAAAGGTTTTAGGGTAGTAATGGAAAGAAGTAAAGTACAGCTGGAAGAGGGCCAAGCAGGCAATTTGAGAGATTAAACACAGGGTTCGGCCTTTTACTTAGGGCACACTTCCGGGGTCTTGCATTACTTCTCCCCTCTTTCTGCCCTTGGGTTGAGCTGTCTGCATGCGCAGTGGTCAGTGGCCTGCTAGCACTTAGGAGGGGCCACATGCACAGTACTGAAGTTTGCATATGCTCACTTGAGGCCTTCGTCCCTTACGAAATGCTCCTAGAGGAAGATTCTATCCCGGTTAAACATCACCATTTTGCTTCTTAGTGCACATGCCCGACCCCACTCACCCAGCTCCTGAGATCTTATCAGGAAGCTAATTATCAGTTTCAGGTTTTATATACCCACACCAAGAAGTTATGTGTAGGCTAGAAGATAGACCTGCCTTTTTGTCTTTGTCCTGCTAATTGGACAGTTAGGATTTGAGGTTCAGCCAAAGGAGGATACAGCATGACTTACAGACGCTGATCTGCATGGGTCAATGAAATGTGCAAGATAATATGTGTCCTGCCATGCTCATTTCTGCCTGACTACCTACTATAATAATAGGATGGTTGATTATTGACCACAGAGCTTCACAAGCAACTCTGTGTCTAAGTGAGGACTTTGGACAGAAAAAAATATTCAGTTTGATAATGATGGCAAAAAGTCTGAAGAGCTGAAGATTGCAAGCTAATTAGAGAGCCATCTTTTAGTTCTTGATTTTCTGCAGTGAAGGACTTCATATGCTAATATCTTTAGGGCTAAAACTGCTGGCTGATGTATGATGTTGGTAATGTAGGAAACATCACCCTCTTGCCGCGTGCTGCTGTTGGAGGACCCTCCCTGCTTCAGATTTACCAACAGCATGAATCAAGAAAAGTTAGCCAAACTTCAGGCTCAGGTCCGGATAGGGGGCAAGGGTACAGCTCGCAGAAAGAAGAAGGTAGTACATAGAACAGCTACGGCTGATGACAAAAAGCTTCAGAGTTCTCTGAAAAAACTGGCTGTGAATAATATAGCTGGTATTGAAGAGGTGAACATGATTAAAGATGATGGGACAGTTATTCATTTCAACAATCCCAAAGTCCAAGCTTCCCTTTCTGCTAACACCTTTGCAATTACTGGTCATGCAGAAGCCAAACCAATCACAGAAATGCTTCCTGGAATATTAAGTCAGCTTGGTGCTGACAGCTTAACAAGCCTTAGGAAGTTAGCTGAACAGTTCCCGCGGCAAGTCTTAGACAGTAAAGCACCAAAACCAGAAGACATTGATGAGGAGGATGATGATGTTCCAGATCTTGTAGAAAATTTTGATGAGGCATCAAAGAATGAAGCTAACTAAAATTTTGGTTTTTGGAAGCTGGCATGGACTAGATTTAACAAATAAGCTATGTGGTTCCAAAGTTTTACAGACACGGAGAACATCACCTGTTACTAGTTACTAGTTCAGTAATATAAATATTTTGTATATTAATAATGCTGTTTGTTCAGCATTTTTTGGTCATTTGATTTTGCATTTTGCACTTCCTCCAAGGATTTTTTTTTTGGTCAAAATATGAAGTATTGGTGCAGTTTGGGGGTGTTTTGGTTTTTGATTCCTGTTATTTTTTGTTTGGGGTATTTTTGGTGTATGTATGTTTATGTATGTGTGTGAGTATGTGTATATACAGTGGAGAGCAAATTGGAAAGCAGTTCTATTTATCCTACTCCCTCCCCAGCAGAAATAAAAAAAATCTTTACATTTAAAAAAAAAAAAAAAAGAAAACATCCCCATCTTTGAGGAGTTGTGGGGCCATCCCAGTACCGACTGTTTAAAGTCATTCCCTCTCTCTCTGCCAGTGGCTGCTCCATGGGGCTACAAATTCCAGAAGTGGAGGCACAGGAGGTGGCTGTGTCTGTTGATGGACACATATTATCTTGCACATTTCCTTGACCCATGCAGATCAGCGCCTGTAAGTCATGCTCTATCCTCCTTTTGCTGAACCTCAAATCCTAATTCTCCAGTTAGCAGGACGAAGACAAAAAAGGCAGGTCTATCTTCTATCCTACACATAACTTTCTGGTGTTAGTATATTTTCCACCTTCTTTTCCCCCCACACACTGAGTAAAGTTAATAGATCTGCCACCAGAAAGTATTGCATACAATGGAGTGTCCAGGCCAAGCTGTAACGAGCAATTTTGGTGCCAGGGCAAGCATAAAACATGTCATCAAATCGACTTTATGATTCATGTCTCAGCTGGCATATGGGTGCTATTGATAATCCTTTCCATCTGGTGGCTTCCTTTTTAACTAGTTATTCTCACTTACCAGCTGTTAAATTTAGTGATACTACACGCTTGTGCTATTGAATTAGTTGCACGATCATTTTAAAAACTGGCATACTGTAAATTACAGAGCCCTGGGGCAAAAACACCATGGCCAGCCCTAGTTACAGCTCTGATTATGAAAAGAGAAGAGAGAAATAGGCAATGATGGACCATGGCACGTGTATAACTATGTAACAAACCTGCCTGCTCTGCAGATGTACCCCAGAACTTAAAGTATATAAAAAAATTTGAAGCACATGGGAGTCATTCAATGATTCAAATATTCAATGAATATTTACTGAGCACTTCTCATATGTCGGGTATTATGGAGGTGAGGATGATACAATAGAGAACCATATTGATGTTCACGAAGTAAGCTTCTGGTGTGGGGAACAACATTACAAAAGGCGGCATTTTATAATATGGTAAAATAAATCTGTGCCAAGAATAAATATGGGGAGTCCCTGGGGCTCAAAAGAGAGGCACTGGCCAGGCGCAGTGGCTCACGCCTGTAATTCCAGCACTTTGGGAGGCCAAGGCAGGTGGATTGCTTAAGGTCAAGAGTTCAGGAGTTTGAGACCAGCCTGACCAAATGGTAAAACGCTGTCTCTACTAAAAATACCAAAATTAGCCTGGCGTGGTGATGGGCATCTGTAATCCCAGCTATTCAGGAAGTTGAGGCAGGAGAATCCCTTGAACCTGGAGGCAGAGGTTGCAGTGAGCTGAGCTTGCACCACTGCACTCCAGCTTGGGTGACAGAGCAAAACTCCGTTTCAAAAAACAAAAAAGAAAAAAAAAAGAGGCACCTACCCCCATGTTGGTCATAAAAGACTCTCAAAGGAGGTATCTAAGCCGGTATCTGAAGGAAGTCAACAAAAACAGTTGGGAGGCTGAAGGGAGGTTTCCTGATGTGTCAACTTGACCAGGCTGCCATATCCAGCTATCTGCTCAAACATTATTCTAGATGTCTCTGTGAAGGTATTTTTTTAGATGAGATTAACATTAAATGAGTAGACTTTGAGTAAAGTCGATTACCCAGCATAAGGTGGGAGACCTCATTCAATCAGTTGAAAGCCTGAAGAGAAAAATGACTGACCTCCTCTAAGGAAGAAGGAATTCTGGCAGCTTGCTTCCTTCAAACTCAAACTGCAATGCTTCTCTGAGTTTCCAACCTGCTTGCCTACTCTGCAGACTTTGGACTTCCCAGCCTCCACAATCACCTGAGCCAAGCCCTTAAAATAAATCTCTCTCCCTCTCTCTATAGGTGCACAGACATCTATTGGTCCCACCGTTCTGGAGAACCCTGATTAATACAGCTTTCAAATAGAGAGGTCCATGTATGCCAGGGCCTTCGAGGTACAAGAGAATCGTGGCATGTCTGGTGTCCAGATGGAGAGACCAAGACCATGCCGAGCTGAAAAGGAAAATTCATATTGCCTGAGCAAGCTGAGTTTCTGTTGCTTGAGATAGAAGGTCCAATCAAATGAAGACTCCCTGAAAGGTCTGAAAAGGGCAACAGACAAACAGCTCTGTGTTTTCAAAGAATCACATGGGCTTCAGCTTGGACAATAATTGGAACTGGAGGCAAAGAGAGCATTTAGACTTTTGGAGCAAGCCAGGCGAGAAATAATGGCCTGTGCTAGAACAGTGGCAGTGAGCATAAGAGAGGAAGAAATACCGCTTGCACTTCGTATGTACAGGAACCCTGCTAGGTACCAGGGAGACAGCAGTGTACATGTCCTTGCTCTCAGAGATCAGTAGAAGAATGAGACAAGAAACCATAAATCACCTAATTTCAGAAAGCAATTTTTTTTTTTTTTTTTTTGAGATGGAGTCTTGCTCGGTCACACAGGGTGGAGTGCAGTGGCACAATCTTGGCTCACTGCAACCTCTGCCTCCCAGGTTCAAGCGATTCTCCTGCCTCAGCCTCCCGAGTAGCTGGGACTATAGGCATGCGTTAACACGCCTGGCTAGTTTTTGTATTTTTAGTAGAGACGGGGTTTCACCATGTTGGCCAGGATGGTCTCAATCTCTTGACCTCGTGATCCGCCCGCCTCAGCCTCCCAAAGTGCTGGGATTACAGGTGTGAGCCATGGCACCCCGCCAGAAAGCAAATGTTATGGAAATAAAATTAAGTGGCTAAGGTGTGGGTGGGTGTCTGAGACAGGTGGGCAGAGCAAGGCATCTCTGAGTAGAAACCTGAAAGGGGTGGGAGGGTCAGTCAGGCACCACATATAAGGTGAGCACAGCAGGCAGCAGGGACCTCAGTGTTCTATTTGGATGCACTGAGTATGCAACACTGATTAGACACCCACATGAAGATGGCTAACGTGTGATAGGGTATGCAGGTTTGAAGCCCAGGGGAGAGATCTGGCTGGAAAGAGAGACATTTGAGATCCATCAGAAAATCTATGCTATAAAATGCCTGTAAACTGAATGATACAACCTAAGGAATGACTGTAGAAGGAAAGAGGGATTAGGACTGAGCTGTGGGGATCTGAGAAACTAAGGGGTATAATAGAAAAGGATTGTTCTAGCCTCTGCACTGGGGATGTCCACTAAATACAGGCTGGAGATGTTGAAAGAGCCTTCCCACAGAATCTGCCGCAGCAGCTGAAGTGCTTGGTAAGAAAAGGTGCTTGGAAGTGAGGCGAAGGAACAAAGTCCGGTTGGCTGGATTTTAGTCCCTGTGGAACTGACACGAGCCATTTAGGCATATGGGTTTCAAGCTCAACAGGGACATCCTGGCTTAAACTAGATCCAGGCACTGGGTACAAAAAATATGGTTAGTATGAAGAATGAGAAAAGAGAAGAGATCACAGCAGAACTTTAGAAGGACATACATTTAAGGGAGTGGGTAGAAAATGAGAAAGAAATCTGTGAAGGATCAACTCCAGATGCTTGCAAAACAAAAAAAAAGGGAACATATTTAGAGGTACAGCAAATGCAAAGATGCTATGTCCCATCCCTGAGGCTACGTTAAATAAGGTCTGTGTCATGAGAACAGAGGCTTTGGAGAAAAAAAAAAAAAGACCAAGGCTAGCAGTTTAATTTCACAATTTATTAACTGTGTGACCCTAAACAAATTACCCAGCTTTTTAAATTTTAATTTTCTTACTTGTAAAATGGGGTCAATAGTATCTACTTCATTGAGCCTTGAGGAGTATCCAGTACGATGACTGTTAATCACCTCTTTCTCTTCTTTCTCTTAGCCTTAATATTTTAATCAAGCAAACAGGACAGGATACGAGAAGCAGCAATACTCAAAGTGGGTATCTCCAGAGGAGGTGAGGCTCTCATAGTGAGAAGAGGCTACACTGGGTCGGTGGAACTAGTGTGGCCCTTCAGGAGGGGCGGGGCTCACATCTGTGTTGTGCGAACATTCAGAGCCATTAGACCAGCCAGTGCAGCTTGAGAAAATGTAAGTTCTCAACACCACCCCCATGTAGTCACGAGGCTGGCAGGGGGCCAGGTGATTCTGCTTCAAGTAATTCTCAGACCGCATGTGGAAGAGATGCTAATGTAGATACATGGTGGGGGGGGGGGGGAAGAGAGTGCAGCATATTCTAGGGGTGAGAGGCAGAAATACACAGGAATGTATGATCTAAGTAGAAGGCTCATGTGAAGTATCACAGGATGTAAATGAGAACAATGAGGCCCAATAAAAAAAAACTCTGGATTGTGAGTAAGAATGAGAAAGCAGCTAGTGGACATGGGGCTTTGGTTTTAAAGGTCTCCATTTCATTTCATGAGTAGGAAGCGTCACAGAAGCAGAAAAAGCCATGGAGAAAGAGAAGCAGACAGATGTACAGGAAGGAGAATGAAAGAGAATGGAAGGGAGAAGAGGAACACTTAGGAAAATGCCTTGCCACCAAAAAGCCACATGACTTTGGGCAAGAACTAAATGTCACTCCCTTCCCTTCTGTCATCCGCAAAAGACAGGCTTTGTTAATATTCCCTGAAAGGCTTGCAAGCACCTGCTTCCCATGGTTCTCAACAGTGGGAGCTGGGGAAGTATGGGAAATTGTTCATGAACTTGGATGGGGGAAAAAAATACTATTCCTTTATTTTCACTCATCTCTAAATGAAATTTAGCTTTTCCTTCAATAATGAATAAAAGCAGCAAGATATTAAAATATTAGAAGTACCTGTGACTTCGTTACCAAAAAAACAGCAAAAAGTTTGTTTTATCACAGTTGTTCAGATACCTCTAAATAGCATCCATGCTCACCAACACATGAAAGGTACAGGATTTATTACAGGCAACACTTTATCTTATTTAATACATTATTTTAAAAGCACATGGGCTGGGTGCAGTGGCTCACGCCTGTAATCCCCGCACTTTGGGAGGCCAAGGCGGGCAGATCACGAGGTCTGGAGTTCAAGACCAGCCTGGCCAACATGATGAAACCCTATCTCTACTAAAAATACA